ATCCTAGATCGACCCCTCTCGGAATACTCTCGATGTCTCACTCTCTCTACGTCGTCGTCTCTGCCTAGCTATGGTACACGGAGCCAGGTAACTCCACCAGACCAGTCTCACTGGAAAGGTCGCACAAGCACACAGCAATGCTTCCACGAGCGTGCAAATGAACAAGTGCGTCATCCAGGTACTGTAGCAGCTTTAGACGTAGCTGCAGTCGGCAATCTTCCTCTGCTCCGAACCAGTAATGGTTCCCCAGGGCGTGCCGGCTGCAAATTGTACTGGAGTTCCCAGACCTTCTCTGGATGCTGCTCCCAAATTTGGACTTAGACTTTTTCTGTCAGGCACTGGTTCCTACCGACCTACCGAGCTTCTTCCGACTTGGACTCCCAACGACCTACGCGATTTGAATCGGCGTTTCCGCCTAAGAGCGTGCCAGTTCGTCTATGGTACATGGGGCCGGGAACTATATCCAAGTTGGTGCTCTTCTTGCTGGCCTAGCCGTGTCCTGCCAATACTTCTCTAACTTGCCTAACCATTGCAAGCTTGCAGGATTCAAACCGCCAATTGGATCTGAGAATACAAAACATGGCCTTTACTATTTACTTAGACTCAGCGTACTAAGTGAATTTCTTAAGTAAATCTTAAAGGCTTGTTGCGAGACTGTGAGTTCCCCTCTCAAGCATGAAAGTCCTGAGCACACTAGAACTTTCTCAAACCTCAAGGGGCTTCTGATTATTACAATGGTGTTTAAGTTAACCCTAGAAAAAATTATAAGCTTACATGCCTGAAGAACCTAGAATTGTGAAAACTCCCTCCTCTCTCTCTCTCTGAGGTTCTCTCTCTCTCTCTCTCCCTAGGCCCTGTCTCTTATACACATCTAGATGTGTATAAGAGACAGATCCAGACTTTCATTCCATCTCTAGCATGCAGTCCAAATAAGAAGGATACCCTATTCTTGGAATGAAAGTTTGAAAGTAAGATGATAAATTTTAAAATTGGAATGACATTTTTTAAGATGAAATGAAAATTTAAAATTTAGA